GGTGCCCTCCGTCGGGACCTGCCTTTGGGATGCTGGCAGCTCCAGAGGTGCTGGGATGCTCCTTTAAACCTGCCTTATTACTGTAGCTTGGATGGGTACCAGCCCTAAATAATCGCAATAACAGCAACAACAACAATAATACAAACGAGTAATGATGATGATGATGCTAGCAAATTCCGATAAAGGCAGGAAGGAATCTCCCTCAGGACACACTCGCGCTCCAGCGCGTCTCTCCCCGGCCTCCCTCTCGGCACAGCTGCGCGCTTGAGGGTCTCCAGCCGGGGCGGCGGAAGGACGGGCTGTAAGCGCGGTGGAGGGACGGGGTGTGGAGGTGGGTTTCTGGTTGATGGCGGTGGGAGAGGTTCAAAACTCTCTGCGTTTCTTGTATCGCTGGAAAAGAGTGTTTTTCTGAGTAATGCTTCGTAGACCCTATGAATCACCATCTGCATAACTTTATATGGGGGATGCTATTCTCAGCATCTCACTGGAACTATGTCAACTATTACCGTTCGCATCTGTATGTCCATGCGACGTGCAAATCTGTTTCCCTGGAAAGACTATTCCGGAGCGGGTCAAAAGAGGAGACGGGGCAGAATAAAATGTCAGGGTGGCTCGGTGGGTGGAGATGGACTTTTTTGGATGTTTGGGAGATGGCATTTGCGGTTGTCGGGGGGGCAGCCCCTCCGTGGAAGCCTGCGCTGGAAATGCTCAGTGGGAGACCTGATGTGTGGGATGCTGAGAGCCCCGGGAGCAGAGCCTTTGGGGAGCAGGGACTCGGGTCCTGCCCCAGCATCACACCTTGCTTCCCACCCTGCTCCTGTGGCCTCTTCATCCAGCAGTTGATCCGCTGAGAAAAAACACCGTGGGTCTTTCAGAGAGGCTCAGGAGAGCCGTGCCAGCCTGGGACGGGGTTTGGCAAGGGGATGGTGTGGTGGCAATGTCACCCAGCGTGGAGGAGCCACCCCCGCACACGTGCTGCGGGCGCACGTGCCGGGTAGGCTGGAGGGGCACGTTGCTCCCTGTGCTGGTTTTGTCGAGAGAAGAGCGTATTCTCTCGAGCTGTCAATCCGTCACCTCCCAGGAGCTCTCCGCCTTCCCTCCACATCCGCCTCCCCCTCTCTGCCAGCACTCCCAGATGTGCGCAGCTCTGGGGGCTGCAAAATTCCCTGTGCCTGGGCAGGGGAATCGCAGCATCGCCCAAACCTCCCCAGGGGAATCACAGCATTGCCCAAACCTCCCCAGGCTGACCCCAAAATGGGCAGAGTGTGGATTGCAGCAGCTGAACGTTTCAACTCTGGGTGCTGTTTCAGTCCAGGCTTTCAGTACAGCACCACCGTGCAGTTGGATCGAGAGTTTTGCTGCGGGGTTTTTGGGGTTGTGTGTTGTCTTTCTTTTTTTTTTTTTTTTTAATTCAAATAATATTGGCTGAAAATTTTCCAGGAAAATGTGTTGCTCTCGAAAGGGGCTGGATTAATGGGTCAGTAGGGTTCTTGTGCTCTTCTGAGCATCTACTGCTGCAAGGGAACATAAGCCCAACCTGTCTGCTGTGTCCCACTGCTGTTCGGTGGTGAGCTGGAGGACACTGATCCCTGGTAGCATCTAATAGCACCTCTAACCTGTCTCTAACAGTCCCTTCTCCATCTCATAGAATCACAGAATGGTTTGGGCTGGAAAGGACCTTAAAGACCATCCAGTCCCACCCCCTGCCATGGGCAGGGACACCTTCCACTAGACCAGGGTGTTCGAAGCCTCATCGGCCTGGAACATTTCCAGGGATGGGGCATCCACAGCTTCTCTGGACAACCTGTTCCAGTGCCTCACCACTCTCCTTTTCCTGATATCCAATCTAAATCTCCCCACTTTCAATTTAAACCCATTACCCCTTGTCCTGTCACTGCAGGTTTTTTTAAAAAATCGTTCGCCCCCCCATCTTTCTTATAAGCCCCCCTTTAAGAACTGGAAGGTTCAATAAGGTCTCCCCGGAGCCTCCTCTTCTCCAGGCTGAACAAGCCCAACTCCCTCAGCCTGTCCCCATAGCAGAGGGGCTCCAGCCCCTTGAGCATCTCCGTCTCAGCTCAGCCAAGCTCCTGCTATTCAGGAGGGAGCATCTAAACATCCCCTTGTTAGGGGGGGAAGCTCTGCCTCCTCTCAGCCCAGAAACAGCACCTCCTTCCCAGCAGGTGACTGTGGCTGCTGAGGGGAACCACTGGCCACCTCCAGCCTGGGCATCGATTTGGGCTCGTGACCACGGGGAGAGAGCTGGAGGATGTTGTCGAGGCTCCCAGTCCTGCAGCCTTCCTGCAGGTTTCCTAAATCCCACTTGTCATCGCATTTCTTCATTAAATGCAGATTAGATCAGGTGATGTTTCTTTCACTATGAAGTCATATGGCTTTCCATTTAGTGGGCCCATCTGATAAATAATGGCTTGAAATAACATAATTCCACCTGCCCTTGATCACACCGAGTCTGTGCTGGAATTCTGCTCACTCCTTAGCTCTGGCTTGGCACTTCCAGATCCCAGGGCACGGTCTGAGTCCCTGCTGTAAGAGGAGAGCCCTGCCTGGAGGAATGGAGACCAAATCCACCAGATTATCTTCATTTTACTGATGTACAGGGGAAGCGATGAAGGCAGAGGTGGGGGCTGAGTGTGGGTCACCCAGCTCCCCATCCACCTCTGCGCTTGAGCCCCATCTCCATCCCGGACAGTCCCCAAAGTGCAGGCTCTCCATGGCCACTGCCACCACGAGAAGCCCTCACAGAGGAGTCACCCCAGAATGAGTCTGTAAGGGGGTGCTGGTGCTTAATTCCCACATGCTCCAAAGCTTTTTGTCTATCAAGAAGTGAGAGCTGAACCGGCATCTTCTTGCGGGCAGTGAGCAAGGCCAGAGGGGACGTGGTGAGACCTCTCTGCCTCCCTGGTTGGCTGGGGATCCCCAAGCCCAGGGAGCAGATGCTTGTTTGCTGGAGAAATCAAGGAGGTGTGAGAGCCCCAGAAACCAGCTCCCCCTCCCCAAGTTTTCCTGCACTGAGGGAGCATGCTTGCTCTCAGTGTGTGACATCGAGCTGAGAACTGCCACCCAGCAGGAACATGTGGCACTGCCTCATCGATTTGGTTGTCAAACCCCCAAACCACCCTGATAGGGACGGTGGAAGTGGGGATAACACCTGTGGGATCCATTGTGCCGAAGAGCTGAGGAGGTGTGCACTGGACCTGACCCAGGGGAGCAAGATGTGATGTGCAAAAGCTTGTTTGGATGAAGATGGAGGGCACTCTTCCCACGTCAGGGTATTTACCCCACATTTAGAATAAATTGAAGCCTCTCTGTGCTTCTGGAGTGTCTCGAGGTGGGACATCCTAGCTGGGCCAGCAACAGCCTCATAGATCTCCGTGGTCTGTGCCTCAACACCCTGACCAGCACAGCAGAAACACCTCCTTCAGTGGTATGTCATACCTCTCAGAGAGTTTAGGTTGTACCCAGTACATTCCCGACTTAGCAGAGATATGGAGCGATTCCCACTCCCATCCTTGCTCTGAGCGTAGTCGTGATGGGGAGCGCAGCTATCATGGGCTCCGTCAGTCACAGGAGAGCTGGGGGTCCTGGCTTGCTCAGCATCTGGGAATGTGAGGTACCCTGGGTTGCCAGCATCCGAGGGTTGATTTTTCCCTGAAATAGCATCTCTGTGACTTTCAGAGACGGTACTTGGCCCTTTTCCCTGAGAAAGCAAGAGGCAGTGCAGCCCCGAATCCCCTGGGCTGCAGGCTTTTGAGCAGCGATGCGACACCTGCTCTCACCGCAGGGCTGATTTACCTCCAGTTTCAGAGGAGGAAATGTGCACCGATAATTTGGATACGATGGCATCTTAAATTTACGTCCCTCTCCCTCCCCTCTTCCATAAGCCTTGCTTTGATCACAAACCCAGCTGGCATTCCTCCGAGCTTGGGGGGAAGTCTGGAGTAACACCCGGAGGCAAGAACTACGCACGTCCCCGGAGCTGCCTCCGTAGCTCCCCGGCTGGGGTTTCCATCCTGCCTCCATGGCAGCGCTGGGTCCTTTCTTGAAAATGAGGGTGTTTTTGTGAGGCTGTTGGGACATTTACGGGTCCAAACTGGCGTCTGACTTTGCTCTGCACAAGGGCTTCACCTGAGACAGTGGAAACGCCCCTCCTGATGGTGAACAACAGGTCGCTGAGGAGTGTGCAGCCCCCAGAGAAGCCCTAGGTTGGTGTTTTCTCCTCTGGTAAGTCTTCCTCTGTGACCTTCTCAAACCCAGCCCCTTTCTTGTCTTGCAGGACGCAGGCTCTCTCATGCCCTGTCTCGCTCTTCTCCCCTCCTAACACCTCCTTCCGAAGGATGGCAGCCGCCTCTTTCCGCTACGGCATGACCATCACCGGGGCCGTGCTGCTGGTGACGGGGACGCTGTGCTTTGCCTG